CCACGGAATCCAAAATTACTTAAGAGAGGAAATGCTGTTACTTGTGGTTCCTTTTATTCTTACATTCAAAAGATCTATTTATTATTAGAAACAGTGAACGTTGCAAGGGGCTGTTTGCATAAACATTATTATTATTGTCATAGTGACATAGTTTTGAAGTATTCCAGAGCCTAAAATCATTCTTATTCCATATGCATTAACAGTGTCTGAGAAGGGGTAGATTCTACATAATTTACTGCATAGAATGTTACATGTAGCAAAATTTAGTTGTTCCCTTCAACCAAACTCTTTGGGGGAAGAGCAATGTGTGATTGGCCAGAAGAGTCTCCTTTTTGTTCTGTTTCTCTGTAGTTATTCTCAAATACAATTAGATCATTCATTATGAAGTTGTGAATTTCTGCCAGCTTGTATGGTGTCTAATAGTCCACTGACTTCCATCTTGTTTCTGTCCTGTTAAAATTTGGTAAGTAGTCTCAATAAGGGTTAGAATAAATCCTCACTTTTATTTAGGTCTTAAATGAAAGTGAGGATTTATTCAGTGGGTGGAAGAGACAACACATCATTTAATATCCCTTTCAACTCTGATATGGAGATTCTGAGAGAAAGGCATAGGATGTGACAACTGGGAAAGACCACAGAGAGCTTCTTATTTGAATTCTAGGGTATTTGTGGAGGCAGAGTGACAGGTCGAAGCCTGTATGTGAATGGATGGGACCACCAAGGCGAGGAGCCACATCCTGGTGCTCTTCCCTCTTGGCTCAGCATTTTTTCACTGTGGGCAAGGTCTCTGCATGAGTGACTTCTGACATGGATAATGCTGCAAATTAATTTAGGCTACTTGGCATACATTTGGTGGATGCTGTAAAACTGGAGAAGGATAAAGAAAACAAATCCTGAGAGTGGGGCATGAAATATGTTATCTAAGAAAATTGAACGTTTTATTTTATTTTACTTTAATGTGACTGAACAAGTGGTTTAAACTCTGGCATAGCCACATAATCAAATATAAAATTTATACAAAAATGACCTTGCTCAATCAGTAGCACAAACCAAGTGCTGAGCTCTTGAGAGATGGATACTAACTAAGTCTCTGTCTCTAATGGGAATGATTCAACATTTAAAAAAGATTGGAATGTGAAAAATTACAGACAAAACCAACATAACCTTACACTTTTTGTTTTTTTCAAGTGCTGGGAATTGAACTTAAAATCTCATATGTTCATGCCAAGCACCCTACAGTCCTACAGTGTAATCCTAAACACGAAAAACATACTATGTTTATATGCTCTTATAATTTATCCCAGATTAATAATGCTATGAGAAGTGTTTGCTTGAAGATCCTTACCCTGTTCATAAATAATAGCTACTTTTATTTATGTGCCACACAGTACATCATGGGCAATCTGGTACCACATACAAAACTTTATTCAATCAGTTGGTTTGTAGTCTTTGACCTGATGAAGTAATCAGGTCAAAGAAGCTTAAGACAATTATTCAAGGTTGCAGTTTGTGACTGACTATAGGTCTCATTTAGAATGCTGGCATTTTGGCTCTAGATCCTTTTGATTGCTTCACATACCAAATTGTAATATTCTGCCCTCTGGTGGTTAGGTGGTGTCCCTGCAGCTGTAATCATTTGTATTTCAAGACCAGCAGAAGCCAGCGAGAGAACTGGGCAACCTTTTAGTATCCAGTCACTATATGTAATGAAGAAATTAGTTTTGTCTATTTCTCAAGAATACTAAGAGATAGGCTACATTACCATCATCTGACCCAAGTGCCTACCAAGCTAATACTTAGTTTTTAGTAGGCTGCATGAAACAGATCCAAGGTGACCAATCACTCTAGCCTTCACTATTCCATAGTAACAGCCAGGGAACTCCCTCTAGAAATCCAACAATGACTGAAATCTATATGGACATATACTAATTCAATGAAAATTATATGTTGAAATACCTACTAACTCAGCAATTAAATAGAATGTGCAAGTGAGTGTCTTATCCCAAAGAGAAAAGAACTTAGGGAATGCTCTTATTGACATATGGCAGACCTCACGTCACCATTTGAACATTTGGACACTTGGAGCTGCGTGGACCTGCGCTAATTTACTACACATTGTGAGGTTAATAGCAGGGCTGTCATCTGGACACAACTGTTTGAATTCCATCCTGCTTGATTTCCTGCTTTACCCACACAATTTGGCAACAGGACTCTGACTGCAGTGAAAAGTACTGCTCTTTTCATCGTAAAAGCTTTTGAAAACATACCTACATACAGTGAAACATTACTTTAAGGTAATTGATGTCAGCTTGTGTACTACTAATAAGTGGCTTTCTTGGTAATCTTACTCTTTTTTTCCCCCACAAAAGGAGAGCTAAAATGTAGGCATAGGTGAGTGTTTGTTGTTGTTATGGTTTTGTTTTGCTTTGTTTTTAAGCTTAGTACCCTTGCTGATTCTTGAACATTTGGAATATATGGTTTATGGTAGGGCTTTCATGGCAGGCATTCAGGGGAAAAAAACTATATGTCTCTATGCATCTAGTTACAGTTTAGCATACATTTGTATTTAGCACCTTTCATTCATTAATCTTTCCAAACACATTTCTGGAGATCTTATTATGTGGCACCGCATTGAGACTCACTGTCGCAGATAAAATAGTGAAGAAATAGTGAGCAGGCTCTTGCCTTCATGAATGCATAGTGTAGAGGCAGAGACAACAAGGAAACAAATAAAATCATCCTAAATCTTCTGAAGGTAAAGAAAAAAAATGATCCTGAGAAAGGAATCCTTTCCTTAAATGCAGTGGTAGAGAGTTAATTCTGAAACTGGAATCAAGAAAACAACTTCAGATAGAGGGTTGAGGGGAGCAGTGAGGAGCCAAACAAACAGCTGACTGTGTGTAGGACACAGAGGCAAAGGACTCAGGGGCTGAGTGAAGGCCTCTGACCAGAACCTTGCTGAGCAAGGGAAAGGACAGAGTGGGAGTCAGAAGAAGAGGGTGACCAGGTGTTATAAGGTGTTACAGGCCAGGCTGAGGGGAACGGATCTTGACCAGGTATACCAGGTATAGTAAGGTGTTGCAGGCTTGGCAGAGGGAAGCAGAACTATTCTAAGGACAATTTAATCCCTGTAGGGACAGTCCCAAGCTACAGTGGAAGCCTCTGTTCAATAGCATATAAAACACAATCTGCCTAAGAATCAAATGGTTTATGGTAGGGCTTTCATGGCAGGCATTCAGGGACCTTCAAACACACACTGATGGTCTTTCAAACTATCCATAATTTGCATGTGCACAGTCAATCAAGCTGAAAATATTGAGACGATAATACCCCTAATCCTTCAAATATCAAGGATTTTTTTTTTTTGGAGAGTTATTCAAATTGCCTAGATATTCTCCAGTTTCTTCAGATCTGAAAACAAGACTAGGGCCCTGTGCTAAGAATTATTTCTGTTCAGTTTCATTGTCATAAGTTGCGCTTGGTAAATTGTAGAATGTGTTCTAGAAATTATGCTGGCAGATTCTGTGTCGTGGGCATGAAACTGCTAAGTGCTGTCTGCAAATGTAAACCATGTAGGAAGTGAGCATCTGCCTGCAGTCACAGACCAAAACCAAAATAAATACAAACGAAAATCATATCAGAAACACGATTGTTCCAAGGGAAAACTATCAACCTGAGAAGCACAAAAACAAGCACAATACTTGTGATAAAGCACAGTGATAATAAAAAGGGACTGAAATTTACTGAAATAGTGGATTTGGAGACTAGGAAGAGTATGGAGGAGGTGGGAGGGAAAGACATTATAAACTAGAAACCAATAAATTTAGATAGGAGGAACTAGTCCTGGTGTTCTGTAGAAGAGTAGGGCAAGTGTAGTTGACACAATCTATGATATATTTCAAAATAACTAGAAGGGTCCAACGTTTTTCAGCACATAGAAATGACAAATATTTGGTGAGCTACATATGTCCATTACTTTGACTTGATCATCATTCATTGTATACATGTATCAATTTATCCCCTGTACTCCATAGATATATACAAATATTATGCCAATTTAAAAATTATAATGAAATAACCGCTTTGTAACCCCCATTCCCATAGGACACATTCTTAATAATATAATGCACCTTCTTTTACCTAATTTTATGACTTTCATCATTTCCTTTATTTCAACAGTAATATTCCTTCCTCGTTAAATTTTATTCAATGTGTATGAGCATTGAGAAAAGGTGAAAATGACCTATTTTCCTTTTAAAAATTCAACTGGCAATTTGGAGGAATAACCAGTAGCTTCTAAATGGCAATGGGTATAGGCTCATTAATGGGAGTAGGCTCCTTATAGGACCTCCAAGGAGATGAGGGGAATAGAGTTTCATCACAGAGGGAGGTTGGCAGGGCAATGACCTCATCCAATACTTTGAGTGAACAGGAGGAAAAATTGCTTGTGTGGAGTCCCCTCTCATCCCAACCACCTGGAGAAACCAAGGTCTGAATGTAGGCTCCACTGAATCCACCTCTGTCTAAAAATGTCTTTGTATTATCTTACCACATCTGCCCAGTTGGCATTCTCAAAACTCCAGTGCTGAATATAAATCAGCATTCAATTGGTAGTTTCCACACTCATTATTGCTATTCACCTACTTGTGAACTTGGTGGCTAAGGAAAAAAAAAACTGTCAGCTTGGATGACACGTAGGGACTCGCATCTGACAAACCCCACCCTAATGAGTCACCTTTGGAGCCAACATGAAAGCCATTTTGAAGATCCAAAATGGACTTGCATCTTTGTTAATAAGACATCATTTCCTATATAACTAAACAGTGTGCTAATGAGATGTTATCCTTCAAATGAGCTTTAGCAATGAAGTGCAAAGGAGTCCTGAAAAAAGCCAACACCCAATTTTCTGAGTAGTATAAAATCTCCCCTGCAACAAATTTGCTCTTCAAACTTGGCATGTTGAGTCCTTTTGACCATCTTCAACTAAGGGTTTCAGCAATATGCCTGAGAGCCACTGCCAGTCACTCCAGAGCTGCTGCAATGCCCCACCACTCTCTGCCATTGTACATGGCTCTAATCTTATAAACTTTGAAGATGGTTTTTGTTTGCCCAGCAGCTGCCACAACAGAACCTGGCTCTTGGACAGCTCTCAAGAAACCTGCAGTGAAGCCACCAGCTACCAAGTGACCAATTGTGAACAGGACCAGTTCAGAGAGGATACCTGTGCACAGAGCACCTGCCACTCCTCAATTGTCCAAACAACGTGTTCCAATTCCAAGCCCTGTGAAAGGACAACATGCCCACCAGGAAGTTGTGCAGCAGTGCCGGAGAGTGCTTCTCAGACTTGCCAGCCAGCAAGCAATCGGCACAGAGCTTCTGTAGCCCAGAGATGCCAACCTGCAAGCTACATGTTGCAGTATTGTCCACTAAAGTCTTCTGTGTCTAGGTGTCACCAAACTCTGGAATATGAATCTAGCCAATGCCAATCTCAGACCCTTACATACAATTCCTGTAGCCCTCTGGTCCATGCTGCACCTGGGCCACAACTTCTGGAATCTTCTAGCACTTATGAGCCAACTTGCTGTGTTACTGGTGGTTTGCAATTGCCTAGTAAGTGAAAAAAAAATTGTAGAAGATATTATTTATATATATAAATTGATTTCTGTGATATTTAGGATATTTAGGATATTCATTTCTCTAAATGTAAAATATTGTGTGTTTATTAGTAAATGAGCTCGTCTTTTTCTTCTGCGCTCTCCAAAGTAAGACTTTTTTTCTCTTTGGGGGATTTCTGGTGGTATGTTGGGATTGGAAAGCATGTTATATATTTTAGATCACTAGACATTATTTATTATAGAGCAATAAATTTTATCAGGGAATAAAATGAATCCTTCAAAAGTTAACCTTACACTTTATTCTAATAGTTATTATCTCTAGAAATGATTGACATTGGATCTGCTTATTTACCAATGTGCTAATAAATCAGAAATCCATAAATAGTAGAATTAAGAGAGACCTAAGCCCATGTAGTCTTATGAATTCAAATAGGCTCAACTCTGCCAGAGGCTGACTGTAAATATTAACATTAGAAACAACTAAAATCTAGGCCTGTTCATTACCCATTCACCATTTTACCCACTGCATCAAAACACAACTAAGTGAGCAAAGAGATGGAATCTACTGCTTCAAAAGTGTAAGAAAACTTTGAATTTCATTTCTATGGACTTTAGGACCACAAAGTCCCCAAAGATCTTTGAAAAAATATTGATTTCAAACTTAGTATCATCACTATTCTGCTATTCCTTTTACTTTTTCATTATTTCTTAAATTATTTATGATTGGGGAAATGTTCTTTCTGTTAAATAAATTGATTTGGAATTATAGACTTGTTGTCAAAATATTATTTTATATGACTCTTGTGAGTTTTACATTAAAAAGTTTTAAATGGTTTTTGCCTGATGAAAATATGATAAAATATTTGAATAATAAAAGAATATGTTTCTTAAGTATATTTTTTCTACTATGAACCAGAATAAGAGAACAAATTAGTGGCAGTCACCAAAAGATGGGAAACATACTTAAAACCTTGGAATCAGAATGTGTGGAATTCATTATTTTGATTAGATAGCATGGGTATGAAGCTTCAGTTTTGTTCTCCTTTAGGGGAGCAATATAGAAGGTGGTTAAGGGCATGGGTTTTGAAGACATACTTCCTGGGGTTGAAGTCTGAGTTGTGCTGGGTGAATGCTGTTTGAATTCCAGTTGCGACTATGCAAGTTATTTAACCACTCTACAACTCAGTGTCCTCAACCTCAAACTTGAGAGGATTCAGCCTTTTGGAGCTTATGGTAATAAACTAAAAGTTATCATCATATGAAGATGTCAGGTCATAAACTCAGCACAGAAGAAAGAATGGAACTTTATAAATAAATAAAACCAGATAACTTGGTATAAAGGAAATTTAGTCATCCCACAAAACAGAGATGAGTTGTTTCATAATTTTGGAAGATGCAAGCAATCCTACCAAAGGGAAAGGATTAAGAAACAATTAGAGGAGACTGACAAGTAACTCTGAATCTATGGCAAAGCTAATGCTCTTGACAATTTACCAGTCAGTTTTTCAGGTGCTTGCAGTGATGATTCCCTGTGTCAAATTGATTAGGTCAAGAGGCAGCAGATGAAATATCATTTCTGGATGTGTCTGACTGGATGATATTATGAACCAGAATAAGAGAACACGATAGTGGCAGTCACCAAAAGATGGGAAACATATTTAATGTGAAAATTTTTCTGTCTGGATGATATAAGCATTTGAATCAAAGAACTCAGTAGACTGACCTCCCTAATATGAGTATCATTCAGTCCACCAAGGGCCTGAAAAAAACAAAAGTAGAGGAAGGAGGAATTTATTCTGTTTTGTTTCCTGACTTCCAGCTTGAGATGGAACCTGGATATTCCCTGCCCTTGAAGTGGTATTTGCATTATCAGCTCTGAGGTTGTCAGTATTCATACTCAGATTGAAGTCCTACCACTAGGTTCCCTGGGTTTCAAATCTACAGATGGCTGAGTTTAGGCCATCTTAATCATTATTCACAGTCATGTGAACATTCTTCATAATTAATCTCTTCATATATATTTGTGAAATTTATACACACATGTGCACTATATGGTTGGGTCTGTTTCTCTGGATAACCCTGATTAATGGAACAGTAGAGACTAAAAGGAAGATTTAAACCTAAATTCCATAAACCAATTCTTACACAGGTGCTTTGGAAAGGGTGGAAGTACAAGAGAACTGAGGCCTGTCTAAGAGAAGCCCCAAACTGTTCGATCTCATCCATAGTCACAGAGAGTGTCAACAGTAAGAGCATCCCTGCAGCCAGAGACATTGATATAAAGCCTTTGGCCACAGAAGTGGTGGCTCTAACACAGCAATGCAATAACAAAGAGAGACTTTGTCTCATGGCAGCCTCTCAGGATTCCAATCACAGCCAATCATGTGTACACAGATCAAATTTCTTCACAATGAAGACTGTTGCTAATGAATCCCAAATTGGATTGTTGGGAAGGAGTTCAATTCATTTGAGCCACTGTTTCTGAAGACAAGAGGAAAAACACAGCCAGTGTGTGTGCCTTCCAAGTACATGTTTCTTTATGGACATAGCTTATTGAGAAGCCAGGACTTTGTTGGAAAATTGTCTGGAGGCAGTGGATGTGTTGGTGGATAGGAAAATGCCAGGAAAGAGAGGCAACAGTGTTGAATGAGTTTCATTTTCTAGTCTATCCTGTTCATCATTTTAGACCTTGACTCATCCTTCCCAAGCTGAGTTTGGCTTCTTCCCCAAAGAGAAGTCAGCTGAAGAAGTGGCCAATATTGAACCTAACCCAACATAAAGCAAATTTCAGCTCATCATAGAGACAAATTGTGTGGATTCAAGTACAAAAGACTGTTGATATTTGAATAAATAGTAGTATGATTGCATGAAAAGATCTTGCTGGAAAATTTAGTGTAAGGGGAAAATCATTACAAGGTCTTGCTCAATTCCAAAATTTGTCAATTATTAGCTGTGTGCCCTGATATTTCAGACTCAATTTTTTCACTATAAAATGGAGAAAATAATGCCTGATTCAATAGGTGATTATGACAGCTAAGTGATATAATGCCAATTAAATATTTGTGGAATGTTTATAACATGATATGTTTACAGTATGTTGTAGATACGCTTTGATACTTCATTTGATATTTGACTCTTGGATCCAACCTCGGTTTACTTTATAATTGAGTGCACTGCATTTATTCCCCAGGTCAGAAACCAAGAGACCCTTCCATTGCATTTTCACAAAGGACATAAGCATTATGGAGCATAACCTGTATATTCTATGCAGAACTCACTTTCAATAAATATGAAAACAACATGGTAAATGCTACAGAATATTCATCATAAAATAAGAGACTTAAGAACTTCAACCTATTAGAGAAAACATTCAACCTTTGGTTTTAGGGGAATATAAACTAAAAAGAACCAATAAATTAAAGAGAGAGAGCGAGGAGAGAGAGAGAGAGAGAGAGAGAGAGAGAGAGAGAGAGAGAGAGAGAGAGAGARAGAGAGAGAGAGAGAGAGTCTTCACAGAGATTCTAGCAGGACTTGATTTTTGGTACTGGGGACATAAGTGACACAACTATGTACTCCTCTCCTAGAAGTTAAGTGTCATGACCATCAAGAACAATCACTTTCTTCTACAATGCTGTTCCAAGAGCCATAGCAAAGCTCTTGGTGATCAAGCACTTATTTACCAAGCATTTTATACGTGTCTTGTCATTTTAAATGTAATTTTATAGAATGAGTACTATTTTCTAATGCAAACTTTTCAAGTGAAGTTGAAGGTTCAGATAAATTGAAAAAGTTTTCTAATTTAGGTTATAAATGCAGAACAGGATTTTTAACAGGATCTAGGCATCAAAGCTCAAATTAGGTCTCTTAGGGAGATTGAGAGAACTATATATAGCTGACTTGTGGCTTATATATAATTCAGGAATGAATATAATAGTGGAAAGGAGCATATATTTAGAAGAGTTTTGTAAAACATGCACTTGAAATATCTCTTAAAGTAATAAATAGTATTTTCTTCAGATCACATGAATTTGGCAAAGTTCAGGTGCCAGGGAAGGTGTTGAGTTGGCATGGAGTCAGACTCTTCTACAATATAGGCTTTGTTATCTTAATTTTGTCACTTCACACACCTTTCAGGAATTGCCGAGAGTTCTTTTCGTAAGCTTGATGTAGACACTAATGGAGATGGGAGCAGGACTTCGTTCCAAGTTGTATGAAACGTACCTTTCTTAATACAGAATCTCCTTCTATCTCTGCTTCCTGTTTCTACCTTCAGGACTCTGACTGACTCAGCTTGAAATTATTTCATTTGTTCCAGGTCCTTCCACTTGTACTCAAAATGATACTTGATTGAAAAAAAATGTAATTAAGACAGAATCACTCAACAAAGAGTGAGGGAATTATACTTCTTTGAACAATTAATAATTCATCACTCCAAGTTACAGATCTATAGCCTTGATAAGAGATAAAATCTACTCTCAATAGCACAATAAGTACCTAAAATTCAAATTAAAAGAAAGTTTTGTGGTTGCATAGTAGAAAGTACTTTGCCTGGCTTTTTGTGTAACTTTCACTAACTTTATGGAAACAAATGTACTAATGAGATTCAAAAAGAAAGGTGTTCCTTGGAGCCCAAAGGCAAAACCAATGCTATTACCTTCACACACAAGAACTAAGAAATCTCAAGGGTAAATATCTGAAAATGGTTAAGCCAATTTCTATTTTGCTATTACTCAATATGCAATCACTTCAAACACTGGGCCAATGCCCCTGCAGGAGGTCAGTAAATAGTAATCGGCAAAGATAATGAGAAAAAGAGACTGAAAATCAAAGAGAAGGCTAAGAATAGCCCCTACTTAGCAGTTCACTGCCTTTTCATTGTACTTCATGGGCAGGGGCATGCTCCTAACTTAAATTGACTATGTACAGTGATACACCTGGATTAAAAATCCCTCTTCTGGTATAAACAATTCAAAATTTATACTAGGGTTATTAACTATTGTTGT